CACCTCTTGCCATTACAACCACTTAAAACTGGTGTTATTCTCTTCTGGCATTTAAAGACAATTACTTAGCTATATATACACTGTACCAGCAGAATTATCTTGGAAGAAGTACAACCAGAGTGCTCCTTAGAAGCAAGGATGGCGAGACTGCGTCTTACATACTTTGGACGTGTTGTCAGATGGGATCAGTCACTGGAGAAGGACATCATGCTTTGTAAAGTACAGGGTCAGCGAAAAAGAGGAAGACCCTCAACGAGATGCACAGTGGCTGCAACAATGGGCTCAAGCATAACGATTGTGAGGATGGCACAGGACTGGGCAGTGTTTTGTTCTGTGGTACATAGGGTCGCTACGAGTCGGAACCACCACCACCAGCAGAATTACTGAAGAGTGCACATCTGGCCATTTTCAATGTCAAGAAACTTAAGCAATGACTTTTGTATCTCTAAAATTCATAAATAATAATCCCCCTGCACTCTAGTCAGATATATCTTTACCCACCCCAATCATTTAACATACAAGCTTGAAAATAAAAACATACATATTAAGTATACAAGACAACCAAAAAAGACTGCAAATAAGCACATGAAAAGATGTTCATTATTAGACACTATGTTGTTGTTAGCTGCCACTGAGTTGGTTACAACTCTTAGCAACCCTATGTACAACCCAACAAAACGCTGCCTGGTACTGCACTATCCTCACAATTGTTGCTATGCTTGAGCCCATCGTTGCTGCCGCTGTGTCAATTCATCTCGTTGAGGGTCTTTTTTTTTGCTGATCCTCTACTTTACCAAGCATGATGTCCTTCTTCAGAGACTAGTCCAAAGTAAGTGAGATGAAGTCTCACTATCCTTGCTTCTAAGGAACATTCTGGCTGTACTTCTCCCAAGACAGAGTTGTTCATTCTCTTGGCAGTCCAGGATATATTCTTCACCAACACCATAATTCAAATGCTCAACTCTTCTCTGGCCTTCCTTATTCATTACCCAGTTTTCACATGAATATGAGGCGATTAAAAATACCATGGCTTGCATCAGATGCATCTTAGCCCTCAAGGTGACATCTTTGCTTTATATCACTTTAAAATGGTCTTTTGCAGCAGATTTGCCCAATGCAACGTTGTTTGATTTCTTGACTGTTGCTTCCATGGGCGATGATTGTGGATCTAAGTAAAATGGATTCTTCAAAACTTTAACATTTTCTGTTTATCATGATGTTGCTCATTGGTCCAATTGTGAGGATTTTTATGTTGAGGTGTAATCCATACTGAAGGCTGTAGTCTTTGATCTTCATCAGTTTAAGTGCTTCAAGTCCTCTTCACTTTCAGCAAGCAAGGTTGTATCATCTGCATATCGCAGGCTGTCAATGAGTCTTCCTCTAATCCTCATGCCGCAGCTGTCTTCATACAGTCCAGCTTCTCGGATTATCTGTTTAGCATACAGATTGTTTTAAGTATGATGAAAGGATACAGCCCTGATGCACACTGTGCCTGATTTTAACCACACAGCATCCCCTTGTTCTGTTCGAACGACTGCCTCTTGGTCTATGTACAAGTTCCTCATGAGAACAATCAAGTGTTCTGGAATTCCTATTTTTCACAATACCGTCCATAATTTGTTATGATCCACAGAGTCTAATGCCTTTACATAGTCAATAATACACAGGTAAGCATCTTTCTGTTATTTTCTGCTTTCAGCCAAGATCCATCTGACATCAGCAATGACATCCCTTGTTCCACGTCCTCTTCTGAATCCAGTTTGAATTTCTGAGAGTTCCCTACTGATGTACTGCTATAGCTGTTTTTGGATTATCTTCAGCATAATTTTACTTGCATGTGATGTTAATATTGTTTGCTAATTTCCACATTCCATTGGCTCACCTTTCTTTGGAATGGGCACAAACATGAATCTCTTCCAGTTGCTTGGCCAGGTAGCTCTCTTGCAAACTTCATGGCATAGACGAGTGAGCGCTTCCAGCATTGCATTCAGCATTCATTTGTTGAAACATTTTAACTGGTATTGTCAATTTCTGGAGCCTTGTTTTTGCCAATGCCTTCAGTGCAGCTTGGACTTCTTCCTTCAGTACCATTGGTTCTTGATCATATGCTACCTCCTGAAATGGCTGAATGCTGACCAATTCTTTTTGGTACGACGACTCAGCGTATTCTATCTTCTTTTGATGCTTCCTGGGTCATTCAGTTTTTTGCCAATAGAATCCTTCAATATTGCAACTCGAGGCTTGAATTTTTTCTTCAGTTCTTTCAGCTTGAGAAATGCCAACCATGTTCTTCCCTTTTGGTTTTTTAACTCCAGGTCTTTGCACATTTCATTGTACTTTATTTTTTCTTCTTGAGCTGCCCTCTGAAATCTGTTCAGCTTTTACTTCATCATTTCTTCCTTTCACTTTAGCTACTCTACTCTATGTTCAAGAGCAACTTTCAGAGTCTCTTCTGATATCCATTTTGGTCTTTTCTTTCTTTCCTGTCTTTTTAATGACTTTTTGCTTTCTTCACATATGATGTCCTTGATGTCATCCCACTCTTTGGTCATCAGTGTTCAATGCATTAAATCTATTCTTGAGATAGTCTCTAAATTCAGGTGTGATATACTTGAGGTCGTACTTTTGGCTCTTGTGGACTTATTTTTTCTGTAGCTTCAACTTGAACTTGCACATGAGCAATTGACGGTTTTGTTCTGTAGTTGGCCCCTGGCCTTGTTCGGAATGATATTGAGCTTCTCCATCATCTTCTTTCCACAGATGTAGTCGATCTGATTCCTGTCTATTCCATCTGGTGAGGTCCATGTGTATAGTCGCCATTTATGTTGTTGAAACAAGGTATTTGCAATGAAGAAGTCATTGATCTTGCAAAATTCTATCATGTGATCTCTGGCATCATTTCTATCACCAAGGCCCTATCTTCCAACTACCGATCCTTGTTTCCAACTTTCACGTTCCAATCACCTGGAATCAACCATGTGTCTTTGTTGGATAATTTCAGACTGCAGAAGATGGTAAAACTCTTCAGTTTCTTCATCTTTGTCATTAACGGTTGGTGCATAAATTTGAATAGTCGTAATAACTTCTTCCTTGTAGGAGTATGGATATTATCCTATCACTGACAGGGTTATTTCAGGATAGATCTTGAAATATTACTTTTGATGATGAATGCAACAACTGCTCCTTTTCAATTTGTCATTCCTGGCGTAGCAGACCATGTTTGATTCAAAATGGCCAGTACCAGCCCATTTCAGCTCACTAATGCCTAGGCTATCAATCTTCACGTGTTCCATTTCATTTCTGACAACTTCCGTTTTCCTTGATTCATACTTTGTACATTCCACATTCTGATTATTATTGGATGTTTGCAGCTGTTTCTTCTCATTTTGAGTCATGCTACATCAGCAAATGAAGAGCTATACTCCTTCCACATCAAGGTTGACTCTACTTTGCGGAAACCCTGGTGGTGTAGTGGTTAAGAGCTATGGCTGCTAACCAGAAGGTTAGCAGTTCAAATCCACCAGGTGCTCCTTGTAAACCCTATGGGGCAGTCCTACGCTGTCCTATAGGGTCACTATGAGTCAATCTACTGGACGGCAACCAGTTTAGTTTTGGCTACTTTGAGGAGGCAGCACTTCCTTAGTCGTATTTCGTGCCTTCCAATCTGAGGTGCTCATTTTCTGGCACTGTATCAGACCATGTTCTGCTGCTGTCCATAGTTTTCACCAGTCGTTTCAGCAGATCGCCAGGTCCTTCTTCCTGGTCTTAGTATGGATGACCCTGCTGGGATTTGAAATACCACTGGCATAGCTTCCAGCATCACAGCAACATGCAAGCCACTACAGTATGACAAAGTGACAGATGAGTGGTGGATTAGACATTATAGAAATACAAGTTAAAACAATGAGATACGACTACACATTAAAGACTAAAATAAAAAAATCCCACAAAATACAAACTTAAAGGAAAACAAAAACTAAAAGTACCAAGTACAAGCAAGAATGTGAGACACCTGGAACCCTCATACACTGCTGGTGGGAATGTAAAGTGGTACGGCCACTTTGGAAACGTTTGGCAGTTTCTTGTAAACATACACTTACTATATGACATAGCAATTCCAGTACTAAGTATCAACCCAAGAGAAATAAAAACATAACCACACAAAAACTTGTATACAAATGTTCATAGCAGCTTTATTCATAATAGTAAAAAAAGGAGAACAACTCAACTGTCCAACTGGTGAATGAATAAACAAACTGTGGTACGTCCTACAACACTAAAAAAGGAATTAACTACTGATACATGCAACAGCATGAACATCTCAAGAACACTATATGAAAGATGCAAAAGACTACACGACTTTATTTGAAAGAAAAGGCGGAACGGTAGTGACACAAAGCAGATCAGTGGTTGCGAGGGGCTAGAAATGGGAACATAGCATTGACTGTAAAGGGGAACAAGACAAATTTCTGGGTGATGGGTATGTTCTGTAAGATTGTAATGGTGGTAATTACATGACTTTATACATTTGACAAAACTCACAGAATTGTATGCTTACGTTGGTTAATTTCATTATATGTAAAATACCTTAGAGGCTAAAAAAAGGACTAAGGAAATATAACAGTGGTAACATGATTATATGTGTAACTTCCCAATAATTGACAAGGAGGATATACTCTTAAATTCAGAATAAAAACACCATTTAAAAACATTAGCATACTACAAACATATGATTATACACACGATCCAATTACTTCAAAATAAATACAAACAAACTCAGAGCTAGAAGAGTGGAAAGCAAATTACCACTGTTTACTCTGCTTTTCTATAATTTCTAATTTTTAGGGTGGATTTTGTTTAAAAAATACAGTAAGAATAGAAAATAACTGGTACTAATTCATACAGATGTATCTATAGCTTTGGCCCAAGTTAATGAATGAGAAAGACTTCATGTGGAGTCATTTTTCAAAGATGCTTTTTAAAGATTATTCAGTGATCTCTTTTTTTTTTTTCACTTAAGTTTTTCAGGGTTTTTCCCAAAAGTTACCCTCTGGAGTCTCAGAGTGGTGAGGCAAATAGATTCTCCTTTTTAATTCAGTGTCTTATCCATTAAAACTACTAAAGAACAAATAGTTCTTAGATTGGAATGCATTTTTCACTCAGTAATGTTCTATTTTGTAAACAAAGAAACAAATGGTATCTTCAGTTGAAATTTCCATCCTGATCTGCTACTGAGAAGATACAATAAATTGAGAGTGACAGTAACTGCTTTAACCTCTGAATGCCTCATGTATTAAATAATTCTTCAGGAACATCTTTCTCATTCATATGGAAAATATAAATAAAATGTAAGTATTGGCTTATAGGCATGGAACCAACTATGTAGTAATTAAAAAACAAAAGATACCTTAAATTCTTTATTCCAAGACCATTTTGGCCAACAGACCATGTGAATTTAAAGTGGATAATAAAAGCAAGAAAAAAGAACAAAAGTAAACACTCATATAGAATAAACAATATCTGATGGTCATCGAGTTTAGGGACAAACTAGTATGTTACTACAGTATCGTAATATGACTCAATAAGAAGAATTCAGTGCATGACAGATCACTTTTGGGAAGCAAGCCAAGAGAATGGACTTGGAACACACAGTACCTCCAAACCCTTGGTGGGCAACAACGGGTGGCATACATTCCTGGAAATGGGAGCAGTTAACTGAACCAGGGTGACTAACAGGTCAAAATAGCGTTACCAATACACCTAGACATCGCATGATACTCTTTTCCTTTTGTTTCCTTGCATTTCCTGGCAGGCACGATAAAATTTGCATATTTTAGGGTGTAGCAGTATGCTCTTTTTGCAGTACAACTGGAGTCCAGTACAACTACTTTTCCTTTTAGTCAGACACTATGAGTCAAAACTATTAGGTCACAAAATAAATGGCAGAAATAGGGTCAGAGCAGAGCAAACAGCACTCAATGGTGGGTAATGTTTCAGTTGAAATGCTTTCTCCCAAGTTATGCAAAGTCAGTCCAGGTGCAGGGCAGTTCCAGAGCTGGTTACCTCAGTGGCTCACCTGCATTAAGGACTCTGGTGGTTTCCATCTTTCCACTAAGCCAACCTCAGGACATGGTGCTCTCTCCTGCGACCACAGGTGGCTGCAGGAGCGCCAAGTGTCAGACTGGACAATGTCCAGAGGAGGAGAGCAGTTTCCTGTCTAAGTCTCTCTACTAGTGAGGACAACCTTTCTCTGAGGCCCCCTTGCAGATTTCTCCCCAGGTGCCATTGGTCAGGACAGGTTCACATCCTCGCATCTCACCAACTTACAGGAGAACTAAGACCACCCATGACTGGCTTTAGAACAATCTTGATTCACCCACCATCCTTGGGCACAGAAGGTGAATGAGTGTATAAGAAAGGAGGGGCAGAAGAGCAGCCTACAGTATCTGCCCCATCAGGGCAGGAAGCAGACAGTACGTGCTGACAATCCCACTAGATTCCATTGGCAGACGGAGTACAATAGCATTCAGAGCATAGAAAAAAGTATGGTAAGATGGATCGCTGTACATTAAAAAAAAAGTCAGGGACCAAATAATAGCCAAGATTCAGTGAGTACATTCTCTATTCCAGGCACTATTCTATCTGCTTTACATGTATTAACACATTTAATCTTCACAACTGTTACCCCTACATTACAGACGAAGAATTTTAAGGAGGCACAGAGAGGCTAAGTAACTTGCCCAAGACATCTAGTAGTGACAGAGATGAAATCTGAATCTAGGTAGTCAGACTCCAGACCATGCTCTTAACTGCTACATTACACTGCACACGGTGATGTGAACGGAGTGTGTGCGTATTCTAAAAACGGAAAAAACATCAAATGAACAACGAATAAGTGGACTGTAAAAACCAAACCAAGAAGTTAACTCAGAGTTACACACTGTACATTTTATTAAATACTGGGCTTTATTACAACAAATTAATTTACTTCTGATACAAGTTTCATTTTTAAAAAAATGGGATTGTGTTCAAATTCTTACTTGACACCGCTTTTGGCTAACCATCCTATTTTTACCGGTTCTATAGTAAGACACTGTGGTCAGAAAGATTAATATTTCATAACAGAACAAAGGAATTTCTCAAGTTGTACACCACTCGACCTGTACAGCAGTACTCCCCAGGTGTGGACATGACCAAAACAGAGTCTACGATCAGAGGCTATACCACATCGCACGGTGTATTTACAGTCGCTACCTACCATCAACATCAGGAAGTCGTTCACTCATGCACAGTTAAGTCTGGAGTACCTCCTGAAGACTTCTACCTTAGACACAAGAATTAGTCACGTCCCAGCATCTAGACAAAAGCTATGACGGAAAATGGCTGTCACACTGCCTTTTCAGACCACCACAGAAAAGCTGTCAGCTGAAACACTCATCCCGGCAGCGTGGTGGAAACTTCCTGGGCATTGCCTTTTCCTGCGTTTTGATCAAGTCTATGATGGCAGATAGCACTGCACAGTCTCTGCACGCAGTGTCCTTCCAGTCTACAGGACACGGACTTTCGATCTTCTCTTGCAGAAGGACATCCAGTTCCCTTCTTAATTCCTAAGGTTAGAAAAATTACACACACTCAACAGAGGCAGACATACCATCAAACAGTGTAATAAATAACTTTAATTGGTACAAGGAGTTTCACAAGCTATTAGACTAAACTGAAATATTTAGTGAGCAATCACCTAAAATGTGGTTATTGAGTAACCAACTAAAGTGTGTTTAAGTTTAAAATTCCATCTTCAATCACATTGAGCCGTTTAGAAGTGTTGCCCTATTACCATTTCAAAAACAATTCAGAAAAACTATCAATAAATTTCTCAACATTACTTGTTCTGCTGAAACAGAGCAAGGAATATCTAATACATGCAACGCTTGGAAACAAACCACAAGACCACATGCAGACCTGCATGTGTATTCAAAGACGATCATGTAGTCAGTCACCTTAACAAGATGGGCAATTCTTGCTGGAGACTGAAAGATAATCCATTCATCTACAGCAATAGTTTCTTGATCATCATCCTTCTGGATGGAAATATCACCTCCAAAGAACAACAGACAATACGGGGAAACCTCTGTGCAGTCATACAAGTATATCTGCAAGGAGAATTGAAGCAAATTTACACACTGAGGAGTCTGAGAAGATTACTGCCCCATTAATTCAGTAATATCACCTGATCAGTCTATGGGTGCTTCCCTTCTAAATCGGTATTCTGCTAGTGTCATAAACCCACTGCCATCGAGGTAATTCCGACTCATAGCAACCCTACAGGACACAGCAGAACTGCCCCATGGGTTTTCCAAGACCATAAGTATTTATGGAAGCAGACTGCCAGATCTTTCTCCCTCAGAGCAGCTGGTAGGTTCTGACCTTTTGGTTAGCAGTCTAGCGCTTAACCACTGCGCCACCAGGGCTCCTTCGCTAGTGTAATAATTAGACTAATTCTGAAGACATGCCACGTTAAATAAGTCATTAAATCAGAGAACATGGGGGTTTTACATCTTTAATTCAATTCAAACTATAGCACTATTCTTTAAACAAACTATTTTGAGTGGCAAAACTAAAACTAATAATGTAGCTGAGATTATTTTCATTTATATGTCCAATATTTAAAAAGTCCTGTCAAATTATTCTTCTAACCAGATTAATGTAACAAAATCACTCTTAATATTCTGACCAACATTTCTTAGGTATATAGGCATGCCAACAACCTCTCTGTATAATGTAACCTCCCGTGTACCCTGAAACTCAAGTTCTTGAACGTGGGCTCTGAAATAAAATTTTGCAAATGAAATAACTGGTCTAACTAATAAAAATACAAAGATCTGTCATGACAGACATGCACAATTAAAAGTATAGGTTATTTGCTTAAGGAAAAAAGTGATAATTCACATCAGGGAAAACGTTAAAAAGAGTGAGAACAAATTTTGTTTACAACCGTGAAAACTATCCAATTATAAACTACGACGAGACGGATACGCAGATCTGTAACTGCTTTAACTGTTCACTTACGCTGCTTGTTCTCATCTTCAGATGATAGATAAGCCAGTTGTAGCGAAAGTCTGTCTGTTCCACATTAACAGATTTAGGATGAATGGAAACTAATCCATCACTTTTTGTATACACTTTAACCCTTTAAAAAAGAGCAGTTTGTTACAAAAAAAAGTCTTCCAGAAGATTTTTTTTTAAAAAAAAACTATTTCAAAAATTTGATGACGGGCTTACTAAAAACTAAACAGACATAAAACCTGGAAACAAAAACAAACCCACAGTTGTTGTTTGGTTTATTTTTTGCAATATAAATTTACAAATTCATATTTGAGGAAAGATCAGAATTTTCGTTTTAATAATAGATTGGAAAATATCAGCTAAATATTAATACTCTATATATCTCACAAGTAATCTTGTAATTACCCAACATACAAGAAAGGTGACATAATACTCCTAACTGTGCTAAGACAGACCGCGCCACTGGGGAACAACGGACAAAAGAAATACAAACATCTGAAATACGAATGATGCAGAGCAAGAGAAGAGTCTGCACAGTTTTCCACGGCAACCATGATACCAATCAACAGGACTTAATTTTAAGAATAACGTTCTGAAATCAATTTTAAAATATCAGAGTATGTACCCAGACAGATATAAAACAAAAATCTAAGAATTTTGTTTAAAAGGGAGTTTTACTACAATCGATTTAAAAGAACCTATTTTAAAATATGCTTTAAATAGTCTCACAGTCACTCAAATCCCCTAATTTCAAATCAGGAGGAGCTGGAATAAATGTACCTTGATACAGCTCTAGTTCAGTCTCAATTCCTAGGGATCTTTTCTTTGATATTCACAAAAACTTTATCTCAATTTATAGGAGTCTTTACTTAATAGTATTCAACAGGGATATGTTTAAGGTTTATTTTTAAATCAACAATAACTAATGTTGAGTCGATTCTGGCTCAGGGCAATCCCATGTGTGTCAGAGGACAAGTGTACTCCATAACATTTTCATTGGCTGATTTTTTAGAAGTAGATCACCAGGCCTTTCTTCCAAGGTGCCTCTGGGTGGACGCAAACCTCCAATCTGTAGGTTAGCCGCCAAACATACTATCTGCGCCACCCAGGGATTCCTACTTTTAAATAATGTTAACTATCTGCGTTAAATAAAAACATAAGAAGCTGATGATCCACAAATCTCTCCTATTTGTTTTCAAGAATCTCTTCTGAAGTTCTTAAAATTCACAATACTTCTACGAAAATCATGAAATCACGGTCACGATTCATTATTCAGAATGAAATATTTTTCTTCACCCCACATGCCACCTTGCAGCCCTGCATCACTACAGCGGGGGTTAGCAAACCTTTCCTGCCAACCAGACAGTAAATATTTTAGGCTTTGTGGACATATAGTCTGTCCCAACTACTCAACTCTGCCGGCGTAGCAGGAAGGCAGGCACAGAGAGTATGTCAGCAAGTGGGCGTGGCAGTGTTCCAATAAAAATGTACAGAAACAAGCTTTTGGCTTACAGGTCACAGTTTGCTGACCTCTGGTCTAGACTAAAACAAAGCACCAATCCAAAGAGAATTACATTATTTCAAAAATAAAAAATGATACAGACAGAAGAATTTAGCAAGTATTGATGTCACAAAAATACTTAGATCACTTAGGTGCAGATAATCCAGCCATAAATGATTATAACTCATCTGTTGCCCATAACCCTATAGCCTAGACTGGGGTTTCTCAACCTCAGCACTATCGCCATTTCCAAGCAGGCAACTCTTCGCTGTGGGCGACTGTCCTGAGCAATATAGGATGTTAGCAGCATCTCTGATCTCTACCCATGAGATGCTACAAGCACACTCTGCTCCCAGCTGTGACA